ATGCATGATACCGACATGGGAGCCGTGACTTTTCACGGCGTTCTCTCTACATTTCAGGTGTAAACTTTGGTTTGGTAATCGAAATCTTTTTTATACGTTCCCGGCCGAACAGAGTAATGCAAAGTTCCCCCCACGTTAAATAAAAGCATTTATGAGAATAAAACTCTCTTTGGGAAAATAGCCACTTTTATTTCGTAAATTTTCGACGCGGACCAACTGGTCGTCCTCAGGCGTGGAAAACTGTGCAACAAACAACTATAATTTTTAAACGTTCAGAAAATCAATACTCCTCCGGCATGTGCACCGATTGGCAGGATTTTTGTTCTGTGCTGGTAGGTGTTATGTTATGGCCCGCGTCGAAATTTTACGAAATAAAATTGGAAATTTTCCCAAATAAAGTTTTATTCTCATAATTAATATCTTGGGATGCCAATATTTCAATAAATGCATTTGTTCTAAACTCTGGGATATATAAATATTCTCGTATTCTAATCCTTCTGCTAACCATAACCTAAATATATACTCTACTTTTCTGATAATTAATGCAAAGCGGCCTGAATTCAGGTCAATTCCTGTTTCCCTATTTTGCCGAGATATTGGGCATAGAAGTGTACCTGCACTTTTGCGGTTGCGATCAAAATTAACGTGAGGTTCGGATATAGATCAGAAACGTGCTTATGTCCTGGGTATCATATAAATTAACTTAAACCTTAGATCAGGCGCAGAATTATGGTTAAGATTAGCTTACAGATAAAACTCGTCAATATTTGCATTGTCTGGAGTTTCCGCAAGATAACCGCTACTACCACGGTTATTCCTATGTTCGTGTCTTGAAAATTTTGCACAATACTTGCAGGGAGCAATCGGGAGCTCAAAAGCCCTTTTACATGCCCGCATTAGCCCTTGCTAAGAATTTTGTCCAAAGGAAGGTATTATTGATAATCTTGCATAATTTATAAGCGTCTTCATTATATGCGGTCTAAGAGGTACTTGCAGAAATGCCTCGGAAATTAACCTAGTCGCATGCAATTCGAAACTCAACAAAAAACCTTCTTCTATTAATTAAGGCGATAAAAGTATTTTTTATTTTAAAGTGTATGGAATAATTTCACTCCTTTATTTATTTTATTTATTTTCTTTTTTTAGCGAATATTTCGAACCTATGGAGATACCATTGGTCGTTGCAATTTATCGATTTTGTTGGACGTTTTATACTTTAGTTCGGATTTTTAAATGCTCTGTTTTATGCAAATAAACCTGAAAAATAAAACATTGAATTATTAACGACGTCTGATATTGTGTCCACTTCCCAAGGCATTTTTTATTTTCCTTATCAATATGGCAAATGTAAGTGGAAATATACAAGTTTCGCTACGTGATAGTTCTGACGGTGACTGTGTCCAGTCTATTTTGTTTTCAGGATTTGCGATTGAAAAACTCACATAAACCCCATGGAACAGGTAACCTTACATAGACATTACCTCTTCTGTCTGATGAATTCGTTAGTCCATCCAATTAAGAGCACTGTACGTCCTTGTGAATGGAGTCAATAAGCTTTGGAATAATAATGTAGAGCAGTCTTCAAAAATAGTTCTTTTTAAA